GACCGTGGCGTACATCGTCTGAAGTGTCGTGGATATGGTAATAAAAATTAGGGCAGCAGTTTGAACAAGGTAAAGAGTGTAGATAGTTACAATACCTCATCTCAGAAATATAGACAGATATACGTCACAATTGCTTCTATTCGGCTTCAGAATACAGCAGGGTTTAGCAATTGTATGTGGACGGCCATAATAATACCTGCTGCAGTTACCCAAACATTAAAAACGGAAAATTGAGGACGGCTGAGCAGAAATCGAAAGGATATATTTTATGCAATCAGCACATGTTACCAAGGATTAGAAATGTGCTACATGCCTTCCCTCTAACCCAAAAAAGGAAAGCTAGCGAATATTAGAAACGACTGCCTTTACACATAAATCCCGCGCTTCATGCATTAAGTTTTAGAAGCATCTTCTCGTCACGAAGTCGACTCTAAAAATGTTCTTTACAGAGCGGGCGTCATTGCTTGCCGATTATGAATCACAAGAGTACCTCACAGCAACTCTGTTAGTTCTTTAATGGTTCTGTTTAAAACCTGTTACATTCAGCTTTAAGACGCAGTTTGAATACGAGTCGAAAAGTCTAGTACAGATCAAGAAACTAATGACAGCAGATTGAAAACATGTCGAACCTTGACATTGACTTATCACGACAATCGTTTCGTTATCTGTTTGTATTTTTGTGGCAAATTCGTTGCTTTGACCTTAGGCAAAGAAGACAGGAAATATATTTTTATTTTCTAGACGAAGTTTAGATATAGAGGAACCCACAAAACTAGTTTGGTGATCATTACACGATAATAATATGTTAAAAGTCCGACAGGGATTTAAGAAATGTTGTTTAGATTTTTTTTCTCCTGTTTATTTATTTATCTCTCTTCCATGATAAGGGTTATTCAATAATTATTTTAATTCCCATTTTTTTTATCGAATTCACGGCAAGCAAGACAGAAAGCCACAAAAACACACGTGGTCACTAGATGTGGAAGAATTAGAAAACAGAAACATTATTAAGGAACAAGAATAATAGAAGAGTAATCAGGAAGACAGCAGATATCAATTGATATTGCATTTAATTTTTTAAAGATTTAAAATTTCACTGGAAAGCATGGGTTCCACAAGCAGGAAGTGACGATAAACTACAGCCGGAAGCGGATGATTGGAAGAGCGTGTTGCCACCTCTTAATTGATGTTACCAGGTTCACTCTGTCCCGAGGTGCCAGCACCTGTTAGGTCCCAGCTATGGGCAAATGGTAAAGCCCCAAACAAAAACAAATCACTGTAAGTATAAAAATACCAACAATATTTTTTTATATATATAAAAACTTAACAATACCCAGTTATAGTAAAATTAGCACCTATCTTTCGACATTTCAGTATCAGTATTTTTCGACTTTCAATAAATTCCAATATCAGTATTTTCATCCCAAAGATTAGAATATTTGTTTTGCGAAGCTGGTCGGATTGAGTACCTTTCGGTAACATCACATAAAAGTTGAAGTTACTTTCTTCTAGCCATTGCCTAAAGAGGCAGGACCTACAAAGCAGAAAGTGGTTTGAATTTAGTATTTTCTTCTCTATAGACGCCAATCTTTCGTGATATTTTACAAGAGATTTTTTTTAACCATTACGCCCCGAGCAAGGCGTGAAGCCACTAGGATGCAGGGGGTTGCAGAAGATTTGGAGCAAGATCAGATAGGAGTGATAGAAGAAAGGATGAGGAGAGGGATAGTGGATAGATCAAGACAATTGGAGATGTCGATTGACATTACATTTGAATAGTTGGAGATTATAGCTCTCAGGGAAACAGTAATTGGGAAGGGTGTTCCACCGGCGAGGGGTGCGAGGTATGAAGCTATTGGAGTAGAAGAGATGGCTACATTAAAAAGTTTCTTCAGTGTAAGGGTGAGAGCAGGATGCCAGCCTCGTAGGGCGCTTGAATTCATGGAGTCTGGGAACCAGTGAAAACAGCTCATCGGAGCAATTACCATGAAAGTATTTGTAGAAAAGACAGAGAGAGGCGACGGCGCGTCTGTGAGAGAGTGACTTGTAGACGAGACGCCAGATCATGGCCAATTATATTACATATCCGTCTCTGGATCTTGTCAAGAACTCCGAGGTAAACAGAAGGTGCCCCAGACCATATATACGATTCCGGGGAGAAAAATTTCCTGGCGTGGCACAGAGAGCCAACTTTCCTCGCGATGGAAGAAGCAATTGACTCAATGTATTTGTTCCATCTCAGGTTAGCAGTATGGATTCATACATTTCCCAAGAGTATTAGCATATAAGTAAATGTAATGGATTCGACTGGAATTCGAACTCGGCTCTCCGATTCCTCAATCCGAGGCGCTATCCATTACTCCACCGCCCTCCACTTATACTTTATCTAAATGTTAGATGGTTACACATACTTGGCTCTCAAATCTCGTTGTGATTTTATGTTGATCTCATGGTATCTCGTCTTCTACATAGAATACATCACTGACTCTAGTTTTTTTATGTCATCCAAACAACAAACAATGGGTTTATTGTATAGCTGATACAATCACTATTTAAGCAAGGGCACATCTAATCAATCAGAAACTGAATTATGACAAAACAGACGGCTTTTTGAAAGGTTTGTTTTCTTTGTTGAATTTACGAATAAATACAAACAAATATAACTCTGTAAAATTATCGTCATTTTACATTCGAAGTAAGTTTAAATATTGTGGAAAGTAGGGATATTTCCCTGTGTGTATTATTCACGAAGATTCAAGTGTAACCATTTCCTTAACCAGCATTTTTTCTCCTAGATGCGGTGAACGTGCCGAGGTAGAGCGACCGTTGATGTTGCAACTTGAAATGCAGTCACACATTCAACATCAAGTTTTCGCATTGAAATCTTCAATAGCTCATTCTTCGTCCTTTTTCGAGTGAAGAATTTACAGACGGAAGCTTCATGAATCACTTTTGAGCAGCTCGATCATTAACGTCAGACGAACCTGATTATGTTGCAAAGAATATGCCAACTGCAGCCCCTGCGGCAGCGTGAGACTGCACAAAAAGGGGCCAACCAACTGGTGTGTGCACGCTGATTAATTCAAGAACAACCAATGTTTACTCATGAAATCACGTATAAATTTTTGTCTATGAACTCAAATGCAAATACGAGAAATGTTTACTTACAGACTCAAGTAGAAACGCGACTGTCTTAGAGAGAAATATACAGTGGGTCAATGTTTACTTACAGATTTAAATACAGATATACGCCAGGCCAATGTCTTCTTATAGACTCAATTATAAAGACTATTAATGTATATACCAATCATATATATATATAGGCTTTTATATATATATACTCAAGTATATATATTATAAGCGTTTTTTCAGGTAGGCTTGTTATCTGTTAATTTCTTGAAAATTCGCATAGATACGTTATATACCCTTTAATTCGGAACGCCGCAAATTATTACTAACGTTGGTTTAAAAGAGTCACATTCCCAATTAAAATCAAACAACATAAAACAAAAATAATACAATTTCTTTCATCTTTGAAACGTGTTATATTGATAAGCGTTACACACACACGTATATATATATATATATATATATATATATACTATGTCTCCGGCTCTTTGTTTCACAGAACATCTATGCGCTAAGGGGGCTATCCCGTCCCTGTTGTAGACGTCATTTCATGGCCTTTTTCCTTCATCACCCACAGCGACAACCTGCTGTTCATATTACAACTGTACCGAGCAGACCTTAGTGACAGTTTCTGGGAGAGATCTCATGAACTAACATGATTAACAGTGTGAACAAGCCCAGTATATGCAAAGACTAGATCAGGATGACATGGAACTTTGTGTTGACCACAGTGTCCAATTTCATATACATATACATACATATATATATATATATATATATATATA